AATCTGTCTATACACCAATGAACAGAATGTGGGTAATTAGAACAATGAAGTTGAAAACTTAATATAAACAGATAAATACTGATATTTCTCAGAGCTGTTAGAAAGGGACATATGGAATATTTCTAGATTCATATTTCTACTTAGATGAATCTTACTTGACATAAAAAATTTTGATACATGGGGAAGCATAATGGTACTGACAGTTAAGTATGTATCCATAAATATGAGGGTGAAAACATTTTAAAGAGCACTGGATCCAGAGGAAACATAAAGAAAAGTGCTAATGTTGTGTGTGCCTATTACCTTAGTGCAGAGTTATGCAGTGGTTTTGTATAATGCTTTCCTTGATGTATTACAAAACTGCCCCGAGGCAAAATGATAGATCCTTTGCTAATCAGTTGGAAACTCCATTGTATTCTAAGCAGGGATCATAGTTATATGCCCTCTACAATGTTATTATTTGAATGAACAAATAAAAAATTAGAACTTTGTGCTGAAGTAGAAGTAAGCAATAAGAATATAAAGTAAAACTAAATTAAAAATAAAAAACGCAATAAAATAAAAATATATGACAAAGCATATTATGTGTAACATAAATAAAAATAAGAATAAGGTGAAAGTCATCAACACAATGTATGTATTTATTTGTCAAATTCCTGTTGAATAGGTTCTAAATGAGCACTGAGAATGGTTGAGTGAACAGTGATAAATTCAACACAGTTCATCTTCTCAAGAAGCTCATACATTAAGCAAGTAATTATAATAAAGAATGACAAATGTTAGCAAAAGTAGGGTGCTTTGAAAATGTAAGGAGCTTGCCAATCAGTTCAAATTTAGCATGAACATTTATGAAATATGAAAGTAGGCTTAATAGAAAAATGTAACTAGAGCACATATTAGGGTCCAGAAAGCAAAGACCAGAACAAATTGAGACATAAAATTTTCCAAGACAACGGAGAGGACTTTTAATCATGTCCAGAGCAGGAAACTAAATTTTGAAAGGTCAGTTATGCTACCTGCATGAGATAGTAGAATGTTGAGTTGGTAGAACTGGTCAACTAATTGCACTGATCTCCATCAAGGAAAATAGTCAGAAAAGGATTAAGAGATTATTGAAGCACAAGATGGGAGAGATGCTGTGCGAAGTTTCCTTGAAATGATTTCATATCTCTAGAGAAACATGACAAATAATATTATAACATCAAACTCTGACCTTCAAGAAACAGTGAAGAAGAAATAAAGTTGGAAAAGAATGTGGTAAACCACATCAATCTCTTACTAATGTATTTATTCATCTGTTCAAAGATGAGCACTTTCTATATGTCACATACTGTGCTAATCAGCAGTGACACAGAGTTTAAGAAATAGTGAACCTGACCTCACAAATGGTCATGCTGTAGTTGCAGGTAAGAAGGACCCGAGAGCAATTACAGGTAAGAGTGATAAGTTCAAGAACTCCAGAGTATTAGGCAATACTTGAGAGAATTAAGTAATTAACTATACTGATGGGGAAGAAGGAAGATGCCCAGAAGTATGTGATGCTTTATTGGAGTTTGATTTTTGTGTTTCGTTCAAGAACAAATAGCCCAATGAGTACTAATATAAACAGGTATTTATAAAGATATCTAACTATTTTTAAATGTTTCAATAACAAAGTGGAAAATATAAGTCAGATGGTGCACAAAAGCTGATTTCTAACTGATTATATAACAGAGTACAAATAGCTTCAACTGTCAAATCTGTGCCAGCCAATCTTTAGTTGTCTGCTGTAATGCTCTGTACTTGACACTGATTTATTAAATGTATTTTTCCATTAGGTACTTTTATCTCTGACTGGGATGAACACATGAAACATAAATTTGGAAATGATAATAAAGCTAAGAGGAATGGTTAAAACATTTCATACAGAATACAATAATGAACAATTTATGGGGAAAAACATGGTGACTCACATCTAATAAGAAATTTTACTAGTATTAGTAAAAATGATAAATTCATATTTAAGTGAATTAAATAAATATGGTATTCTGGCAACCACCAATAACATCAGAGCACAGAAGACCTCTCATAACAGAGTGTAATACAGATACAAAAACAGACAATGAGCATGTAATGATTGTGATATCTTAGCAGAGGTGTAAGTTCATTTGAGCAGAGGTCCCTAGCAGTGGTTTCCCATGGCCTACTCTGCTTAGATTCCGTTGGTACAAAATGTCCAGTTCTGGGAGCCATAGACATGATTTTATGTGCTAAAAGACTTGGAAAGACCAGATATACCTAAAATAGCAAGAAAGGCAAAAAATAAAGTAAAATGAAATAAAAGGAACTTAGAACACAAGCAGTGTAAGCAGGTATAGACAAGTGGTGGAGGCGTCCTGGGCAGATAACCATTAGGCACTATGAGAGATGTCTTAGAAGGTAAACTGTGTGTAGTCTCAAGAAGTTTGGACTGTCGTAACAATAGCAAAAGGTGCAAGCCCTCAATTAGACTGCAGGGGAGCTCCCCCAGATGAATGACCCTACAAAGAAAATGGAATAAAGGATAAAATAGTACCCTCTGAAATGACTCAAAGAATAAAATCAAAGCAAGACCCCTTCCTCAGGTATTGGAACACAAGGGGGAGAAAAATGGAATGCTCCTGCTGGACATTAAATAGAAACCAGAAACCTTAATCCTGAAGAATCAGAGTAGAGACAATAGCAGCAATGCAGAGAAATCCATCTTTTGTTCAGTTTCTTATATTCTCCTCCTTAGCACAAGTTTGATCCCATGGCTACAGATGAGTGTGACTTTTTCCCGTTTGGGAAAATTAGAATTGTAGAGCTGATGAAATTACATAAGTAATTCACTTTCCCCAAAATTCACTGTACAATTGAATCATTCCTCGTGAAACACATGACTTGAACACTCACTGTCCTGTGAGTCAATAACTGTGCTCGATTCAGAGAATGTAAAAATAAATTGAAGTCAGTGCGTTGATATAAATTCAAATTATTGTAAGTAATGGATAATCATTGATGTCTTTAAGGCTAAGTGGTGGACTAAGTTCTAGGACAACAGCTAACAGCAAAGGAAAGGGTTTGATAATCTACTCATGTTGCGAAATGACATTAGAGAAATGCGTGCCAGTTGGAAATATGTGTTAAAAGATGCTACATATTTGTAATATTTTAACACTTTTCTTAATAAATAAAATATTTTATGGAATATTGTATAGAATATATCCAAATAATTCAATTTAATTTCTAATTATGTATTTTATTTGCAAAAAATTATAATAATACAAGCATGCAGTTTGATCACAGTTTATGTAAATTTCAATAATAAAAATATGAAACAGACTGTATTTGTAGATCTCACTTCATGAGAAAAATATTAAAGCAAATAACTCCGAACTTAAAACTCAACAATATGATAAATGTTTATATACCTCACCCTGAAATGTACCCCACATATTTATAATAAAAATTAAACAAATAGAAATAAAAAATAAAAATGCTTTTTTATATATTTAAAAAAATCAACAATCATATAATTTGAAATGAGTGAATAATAAACTATTCACACTATCGCCACAAGGTGGCGCCAAAGTAACTGTGGCAAGTGGAGAAAGTATTGTATTCTTCCACCCATTTTTCTGCATTTACATAATTCGGTATTATGTTTACAACCGTATTCATAATTTGAGACTATCTAAATAAATTAACTGATTCTGTGTATAGTGTGCTAAGTGTAACTTACTGTCTTCAGTAAATCAAATGTGTTAGAGAGCTTCCTCATTCTTTGACTACTAATATTCCTCAGTTGAAATATATTATCAACAAATTATTTAACAAATCCTTCATCGGTGGTCACTTAGGAGTATTTAAATATTTTATCAATGTAAATGCTATAATAAAGAACATAAGATCATCCCTGAAGAATTTTCTCTTTGTCTATAGAAAGGTGTGTCTGGACAATATACATATTCTGCCAGGAAAAATTTCTGGCTCAAAGTAAAAATGAATACATTTGGTCACATTGTCCTATTTAGAGGTCTAACAATTTAAGCTCTAATCAACATTTCATGAAAAGGTCCATTTTTTCCCTCTTATTGTCATGACCATCTCTTTTCTTTTCAAATGTTGCCTCCTTATCTAAAATGTTATTATTGTTAAATGTATTATTCCTGAATTAGTAGTGAGGATGCATATGTTTTAAAACTTGTAGTGAGCATTTGTAGTTTTTGTTCAGTGATTTTCCTGCTCATATCATTTGCCCACTTTTTTTTTAAGGATAAAATGTTCTTTTTCATTTGAATTTGTCAGAACTTTTCATATGCTATGGATACTAGTTGTTAGATTGTCATATCTGTTAAAATATATTTTCTCTTAATTTGTCACTTAACATTGAACTTTGATAATAATGACTTTCATTGCAAATGAGTTTTAATTCTTAGGTCAAATGTGAAAATGTTCTGTCTCTTATGACTTCTGATTTTTGTTTTGCTTTGCTTTGAAAATTTTTTTCAAAATTTTAAAACTCTAGAAAGATATTCTTTATCTGATTGAAATGCAATCATATAGGTTTTTTCACATTTAATATGTTTGTACACTTGGAATTTGTTTTCATAGATATCCAATTACCTTGGCATCATGTATTAAATAAACATTTTTCTTCTCCAGTGATATGAAACATTACCTTAACCAGTTCCAAATACATACGATCTGTGTCTAGATAATTCTATTTTGCTTCACAGTAGACTAAAATCATAACATTTCACACAAACAAACGCAATGGATCACAGAATTGCCACTTGCCAGAAGGAGAAAGGGAGATCAGAGCTAAGGGGTTTCTATGAAGTCCCTTGACCACATTGACAGGCAACCTGGGCCTCAGAGTCTGTTTTTCTTACTTCAGATCCAGTGTTTTTCCTATTCTGCTGCAAACGATTATTTGAGATTGACTGGAAAATAGGTCATTTTGTTCTCTTTTTGTCTTCCTTCTTTTCCAGTAACAGAGGAGTATTCAGCCTGTAGTAGGTTCCCATGTCAGAATGGGGGCACGTGTATAAATGACCAAACTGGCTTCACCTGTGCCTGCCGGCATCCTTTCACCGGTGACAACTGCACTATCAAGCTGGTGGACGAAAATGCCTTAGCTCCAGGTAAAAGAGTACATGCATCCTTGGATTTGCTCAATGTCATAAATAGAAACATTCTTTGAACATTTGTGTGAGTGAATATTTAAACCTGTCCATCAGGGATCCATGGGAGAATGAATTTCTTTTACTTCTGAAACTCACTGAATCATGTACTTGATTTACAAGTGGAAACGTCTTTTTGCCAGGCAAATGTTTATATACATGCACTTGTTGGAATTTTCGATATCAGTGTACTAGTGGCAGTCTATGGAAAATTCTGTCTTCCCCCCCACACATACTTTTTTCTCTTGTGCATCTTAAAAGAAAATATGAATGTATATATCTGACGGTATAAACTCTCCTCAAACAAGTTGTTAAAGAAATACACTTAACTCATGTTAGATACAGTCATTTAGAAGAGGCTTTAATACATGCTTAGCAACATATTTTCTGTGGAGGTGAAGCTAATAGTGCCATTTTGACTGTGTGAAGAACATGCTCAAATGTGTAGAGTAAAACAGGATACCATTTTTGTCCATTTAAATTCATAGTATTGGTTATTTTAGATTTACTCCAAGAATGTGCTATGTCTGATTGTTATACAGGAAAATATGTGCAGCATTTAAAATATGTCCTCCTAGGGACGCAAAAGAACATATTTCAAATCAGGCTTTTCTTAATAATATCCCGCATAATAAAGAGTAAATTTTTTTTACTCCATTTTAAAATCTCAGGCTCTGTAAGCACATTTGGCATTAATTATGCAGATAATTGCCTTTGTCTCCTTTTCTATAGTGAACATGACTTTATTTGGGTTTTGTTTTAGCCTCTAGAAACTGCTTGACAAGGTGCTGGAAAATTGTTTCTACATCATGTCAGCTTCAATTCCTACAAAGGACTTTAAAACATTCTGGCATTCCATAATCATCATAGGGTGCTTTGAATTCCTTTATCTCTAGGGAGATCAAAGCGACATGCAAATTAATATTCCCGTGAGGGAGGTATCAAATATTATTTTCATTCTATCCTGATCTAAATGAAGAAACTGAGGTTATGAGAGGGTAATTCAGCCAAGAGAAGAGACAGGCATCCACACACATTTGTTAAATTTGATGGACCTTTTTTCCTCTCCTGAGGCTTTTTGTAACTGGGATTAAAATGATAAAGATACGAGGAAAGACAAAACAAGATTAAAAACATGAAAATTAACTCTTGCCATTTTTTTCTCTAACAGATTTTTCCAAAGGATCTTACAGATATGCACCAATGGTGGCATTTTTCACATCTCATACATATGGAATGACCACACCTGGTCCTATCCTGTTTAATAATTTGGCTGTCAATTATGGAGCTTCATATACCCCCAGAACTGGAAAATTCAGAATTCCATATCTTGGAGTGTATGTCTTCAAGTATACCATTGAGTCATTTAGTGCTCACATCTCTGGATTTTTAGTGGTTGATGGAGTAGACAAGCTTGCATTTGAGTCTGAAAATATTAACAGTGAAATACACTGTGACAGGGTTTTGACTGGGGATGCATTATTAGAATTAAATTATGGGCAAGAAGTCTGGTTGAGACTTGTGAAAGGAACAATTCCAGCCAGGTTTCCCCCTGCTACTACATTTAGTGGTTACTTGTTGTATCGTACATAGGTTAGTATGAAAAACAGACAGTCATCTTTATTGAGAAACAGCTAGTGTTATTATTTACCTTTGAATGCACATCAGCTCTGTTTTGATTTTTCTACATGAAATGAAAGCTAATTTCTTTTTAAACGTGAGTAAAGTTGTATTTTTTTACTTTATAAAACTTTGAATATCTGTTGAATGTCCTGTAAATGAAGACATTCTTCCTTCTAAAAAAATTTAGTGGCACAGGAAACAAAGTGAACTTGTTAGCATAACTATTTCTTTTTTGTTGTTGTTCCTTCATTGTAAGTCATTCCATTATAAAGTAATATTATAAAATGGCTATCATGCAATATTATCAGTCACAGTATTCTTTCCAATAAAACATTTAACTTTGTTATTCCCTGTGTATATAAGCATGTAACAAATGTTTCCTAGATTCACAAATTCAAATAAATTACTCAAAGATTGGAAAGTGCTTTTTTTAAACTTCTATTTTTACACTTTACTGTTGAATGGTTCAATTTTACATACTAAAATCTTCCTTTGCAGTAAAAATTAAGAAAGTTGAATTAAAAATTTGAAACATGCTTAGCTATGGCAATTGACACATATTTGGATACTTACACCCAAACCCCAGAATACATAAGTGAATCATTCACCTGCCACCATCATATAGTATAGTATCTACAACGGAAAAATAAAACCTTTTCCTAATAAGTATTCTTCTGTGGCAGTACCTGCAGATCTGTCTCTACTCTTATATAGGGTAAGTAATAATCTGTGTCATACTGCAACGTATGGGGTGCTTACTATGCCCCAGTTCTCTTTCAAGCAATGTACATGTAATGTCTCATTCTTTGAAATAATTCTTATGAAGTGGGTATGATTAACATTATTTTGTAGTTGAAGAAACTAAGACACAGAAAGGTTAAACAATGAACAAAGGCCCACAGCCGTGAGGACTGAGGCAGGATTTGGAATCAGGCCATGACTTCTCCAGAGTCGATATCCATCATCTTTCTCTATATCCCCCCACAGATGTCCCAAAGTGTATTCCACTAATCCCTGACTAGTGGACATTTAGATTGTTTCTCATTTTTTATTATTACAATAGTGGTTGTAGTGAACTTGCTTAAATACATTCCTTGCATATTTGACAAAGTATTTCTGAAGACTAGATTTGCATAAGTAATAATAAAAATAAAATAATAAAAAAATTGGTATGGCAAACCTTTTTATGAATTGATTTCTTTAATGCTTATTATAACCCAATGAATTACATATTAACTCATGAAATCTGTATTACATATTATCATTCTCTTTCTGTCCATGAGAAACCTACACACATAGAAGTTAAGTAATTTTCCCAGAATTACAGCGAATGTGGAGAATTTCTGGAACAGAGGATAAACATATCTTTCAATTTTGATAAATACTATCAAATTGCCTTTAAAAATATCTATACCAATCTATAGTCCCATCAATAAGAAAAAATTTAGGCAGGAACTTTTTATCTTCCATATATCCTCACCAAGATTAGCAAGTTTTTAAATATTGCCAATCTTGAAGATGAGAGTAATATCTTCTATTTAGAGCAGAAAGTTGAATTTTTTTTCAAATTTTTCAAAACTTGAAATCATATGCCTGTACAAAGACTTGTACAGAAACATTCATGGTTGCTTTATTTGTAATAGCCAAAAACAGGGAAACACCCATATGTCCAGGAACATTTCTAAGTTGTATTATCATATTCTACTGGATGGCTTTTAAAAATGTAGCCAAACAAGTTCATAGCAACTTAGAAGTTGCTATAATGCCTTGTGACTATTTCTTATTTAATTATAATTCTGTAAATACATATAACAATAATCATATTAGTAATTATATCCCCAAACACCAAAGCATCATTTAATGCTATATGTTCTTCACTATCTAATTAAAAATCAGCAGATTACATTAGATTTTGCAATGATGAACACTGCTAAATGATTTACTTTCTTCTCTTCTGGTAACAGTAAATAAAGGCAATACATCAAAACCACTGAAATCTATGTTGAAAGTATACTTGGAAAGTAAAAACTGTATATTAATTTATGAACATTTGAAAAATAAAATAGACATTTCAGATTATAGAGAATTTCCAGGCTGTAACCAAAGAAATTAGAAAAACTTTCAAAATGTTTTTGAAAATGACACATTTACAAATAATAGGGTAAAAATTGTCAGTAAGATAGCCTGCAGTTTTCAACTCCCAGGTCACATTCTTCTCTGGCAGCCTGAATCTATATTGAGTGATGCTGGGGTATGAAGACCTATCTTTTTTGACTTAACATGGGACATTCAGATTAACAATATTCACTTTAGAGTTCCCTGCAGGGTGGACTAGGTTTGTTAGACTGTGGTTTAAAAATCTTCTGAGTTAGACTGGATAAAAAAATATGGTACATATACACAATGGAATATTATGCAGCCATAAAGAAGGACAAATATATGGACTTTGCAGCAACTTTGATGGATTTGGAGTCGATCATACTCAGTGATTTATTACAGAAATGAACAGAGTTCCATATGTTCTCACTCATAAACGGACTCTGAACAATTATAATGCTATAAGAAAGCAATTGACAGTAGTGGGAAACTGTCAGGGAAGGGGGGTGGGATTGGCAGTTGGGGGAAACTGCTGGGGGAGGGAGGGGCATATCTCATCAACAAGGGTACCTGCATGATCAATGTTTATATACCTAACCCTGAAATGTACTCCACATCTTTATAATAAAAATTTTTTTTTTAAAAAGAGAAAAATCTGAAGCAGCAAGTTGCTGGGAGAATGAGTGGAACCAGAATAAAGAGACTCATCATTTTAAAAAAAATCTTCTTCTGCATAATTACTGTGAGATTCATAGGTGTTATAGTGTGCTCATTCTTTTTCTGCTTAGTAGTACTCAATTGTATGGATATAAGAAAGTTTGTATAACTGTTTGTTCCTGGACATATGGGTGTTTCCCTGTTTTTGGCTGTTACAAATAAAGCAACCATGAATGTTTCTATACAAGTCTTTGTACAGGCATATGATTTCAAGTTTTGAAAAATTTGAAAAAAAATTCAACTTTTAATTGTTATTATCAAACTTACCCATATAGAAGAAAATATAACACTGGAAGTTTTCTTGATATCTTCTATGGAGATAGCTGACTGTCTTGAATATTATTTTGTAGATTCAATTTCAGAGGCTTTCTCTCTCACCATAACTGTCCAGCCAGCTCATAAAGTGTGCCAGGATCCTAATTACTGATGACAATCTCAAATACATGCGTTTATTAATTATTTGATAAATACCTAATGTATAACAGACATGGCAAATTGCATATAACAAATTATATAAAAATAAATATCAAATATGACTGGCCATGATGGCTCATGCCTGTAATCCCAGCACTTTGGGAGTCTGAGGTAAGAGGATCACTTGAACCCAGGAGTTCGAGACCAGCCTGGGTAACATAGCAAGATCTCATCTCTGCAAAAAAAATGAAAAAATTAGCCAGGCATGGTGATGCATGCCTGTAGTCCCAGTTACTCGGGAGGCTGAGGCAGAAGGATCATCTGAGGCCAGGAGATGGAGGCTGCAGTGAGCTGTGATTGTTCCATTGCATTCCAGTCAGAGTGACTCAAACAAAAATAAATATAATAAATATCAAGTAAATTAGAACAGATAAATGCTGCATTTGAAGTACATTATCCAGGGTCATGCTGGTGGTAAATACCACCACCAAAATCATGGGTAGCTCTGTAAGAATGAGAAATTATCTTTGAAAACTGCCTTCCTCTTTTATTTTCTTGGTACTGTTGACCAATCTTCCATCACCTCCTTTTGGATCTCTCCAGGAATCAAGAGCTTCATATTCAAAGCCAGGTGTGCCTACAGTTCCTTTCCCTTGCTCTGTCACCAGTCAAAACTCTCCATTTGGAAAAATGGGCTCGTATCATTTAGACATTAAGAAATGATTAAAATAAGCCATACTGATTTTCAGTTGTCTAATCTTCTTAGAGGAGGTTTTTTAGGTGATGGTTTATCTGTTTCAAAATGCAAATTTTCTAACTCACATTGGAAACATAGGGAGTAATTGTCTTTGTCTTCATCAAGAACAATTTTTAATGTAGCAAAGTGTTCTTTGTTATTCAAAACTTTGCCTATACTCTATCTGGCAGGGCGCATGTGGGACACATTGAAGTAAAAAATGTGGACTTGCTCTTCCTAAAGTGTACAATTTAGTCGGACTGCCTGCTTGTGCAGAAAGCACGGAGGTTTGCTGCCTCGGTGTTTTCAAACCTGGGATTCATCAATAAGCTGGGGAGCGTTATTAAGCATCTTCCCTTGAATGCTTTTACCACAACTCAGTGAGAATCCTCAATGAGCTATACTGCATTTATGTTTAGAGAAAACAACAGTAAAATGGTATTCATTCTCTAGGCTGACATCCTAATTAATCTATCTAAAACTCTGGGAAAAGTCCAAATTTTGAAGTTTGTATGACTTATATTCATGAATTGTTTCATGAACTGTCAAAGCTCAGGTTGAAGCCAAAACATTTTCCAGACACCAAGTGTCTAAGTCAGGTTGGGCGGTCATAACAAAGCACCATAGACTGGGTGGCTTAAACAACAGACATTTATTTCTCACCATCCTGGAGGCTGGGAAGTGCAAGATCAAGGTGCCAGCAGAATTAGTGTCTCTGGTAAGGTCTGCTCTAGTCTCTTCATCCGTATAGACACTGATCTTATTATGGAGGCGCGATCCTTCATGACCCCATCAAAGCACAATTCACTCCCAAAGGCCCCATCTCCAAATACCATCACATTGGAGGTTATAACTTCAACTGCAAATTTTAGTGGAGAAGGGGCACAAACGTGCCCATAGTACAGGAATGGAATGTAGTCATATTTAGAATGGTGTGGATTTTTTTCAATGTATTATTTGGATTAAAATACTTAGATTTCTTATTTTGGGATTCAAATCGATAATCATATCAAGTCCACTCGAGTTAACAGTGAAAACACTGCACCACACAACCTGAAGGACAAGTGTTCTTATGAATCTTACTCAAATAAAGCTTACTAATGCCACTAATCAAAAACGTACTAATGCCACTAATAAAAAACTGACTTGCTGAATTTTTTCTCTTATCAGGACATAGACTATGACTACACATAGTCAAACTATTTTGAAGTTTACTTTCCCTCATTTATCTTTGCTGCAACTATTATCATCATCAAAAAATTTAGATGTGCAGTATATATATATATATATATAGAGAGAGAGAGAGAGAGAGAGAGAGAGAGAGAGCGCCACATGTATATTTCTTCATCTATATAAAATCTGTGGATTAAGAATAACCATAATTTGCCAGAAAATATATGTAGGAAAAATGCATTTATTTGTACTACCTGGTCCTTTCTAAAAATGAT